GGCTGCCAGTTTGGCTCAAATACCTTTCTTTGCTGTTGTGCCCTTTCATTCTGTTGCTGTTACCTGCTGTAACGATCTGTCCCAACCACTAACACCTCAGTCAGGAGACCCTGACCACACACAGGCAACACGTATGGTCCATATCCTTCCGTCCCCAAACCAGAACATGGCCATTTGGAATCTGGGCTGTCCTGGAAAATCTGGGATATATACTCATTATATTTATAGATGCAACACTAAGCCTTGATCCATTTTCAATTCAAATGGTTTTAATAACCACAAACATATGGGGGGAAAACTAGCAAGCCAAACTTATTTGTGTTTGATGGTAGTTGTTTTCACAGGCATGGTGACCATATTCCTATAATTTTCTTTTTCCTTTTTTTTTAAGATTTTATTTATTCATGATAGACAGAGAGACAGAGAGAGACAGAGAAACAGAAACACAGGCAGAGGGAGAAGCAGGCTCCATCCCCGGAGCCCGACGCAGGACTCGATCCCGGGAATCCAGGATCACGCCCTGGGCCAAAGGCAGGCACTGAACCACTGAGCCACCCAGGGATCCCCTCCTATAATTTTCTAATGCAGTACTAATTTCAAATGTTCCATGAGTTAAAATATTTTTAATGCTGACTATTATGACCTTTTGATATTGCTGTATTGTTTTCAATAAAAGCAGTTGTTTACATGTATAATGATGACATTTTCTATACCCTTGTAAGACTTTTTTCTTCCAAAATCACTGACTAGATGACCATGTCAGCTAAGCCCAGTCTTGGAGTCATCCCAGCCCAGGTGCCAGATAGTGAAGAAGCCTCCAGAAGATACCAGTCATGCCCTATCTGAATTTCTTACTATGAATTCATGGATATAAAAAATAGACAAACCAGGGGAAAACTCTTTTCAGACCATTTCCGTTAGTGTGTGAAAATGCAGTTATCACTGAAGTTTGAGTTGAAGAGAAGGGGTATCTTCCTCCAGAACCTTCCAGACTGGTAATTCCAGGCATGCCAATGCTTAGTGGCATTGGCACCATTCTACTAAGAGCAGAAGTTATTCCAGCCATGCAGGGTTATGCTCTCTATTCTGGGGGAGCTCTCTACTGTGCAAAGAGAAAGATAACCTACCAGAAGAAGTTCTAACTGGTGGACCATTTGCTTCAGGAACAGTGAATGCTGGATTTCAAACACCTTTTCTGGCATCCTGGTTCTATGACTCTGTTACTGACACATTTTCTGAAGCACACCCAAGGCCCTGGAATCATGGGCTTTATCACATGTCAAAAGCCAGGTTTATGAGCCTTCAAGGTGTAGTGCTACATCTGCCAGGTTTATTAGCTTTTGTGTGACTAATACTGGTACCAGAACTTGAGAGTGGCTAGGGAGAAGAGTACGTAACTCTAATTGTCAAGTTTTGAGACTGCATCAGAATCCAGAGACCTGAGCAGTGATGTCTTTAGTTTTTGTTTTATAATATTAGAGATAGGAGCCAATTACTGTACAGCTCCAGACTGGAAAGAAGTGCTTCTGGGTTAGCATGGAAAGCAGTTGCTCCCTGCGGGTAACTTCTGAGTTGATCATCCATCCGTGATGACAAATAATGTGACTCATTCAAGAGTCTGTTGAGAATTTGCTATGATACATGCCAACAACCCTACCAACTTTGCTTGAATTCATCTAGGTCACCCAGCAAGACCCTCCCTCCCTCCTTCTGCTTACAAACCCACAGTTTCTTCTGGTTTCAGTATGAATTTTATCTTAACTTTCAGTGTAATGTCCTTGGCCAAAAAGCTAAATCGGGGTGTGACAACCTTTCCATTCCATACACTCATGGGTTTATATGGGAGAGAGAGAGAAAAGGAGGACTTTTTGTGTAGGAAAGAGAAGTTGAGATCATTTAAAACGACTTATTCCACCAGTTCTGGGGACACGAACAATTTGTAAATAAAGTTATTGTATGACAGAAGGACAGTCAACTGAGGATCTTTGATGTCATTTTATTGAATGCTGCCTGAGTTTTAAAAGAAAGCACTCAAATAATACATGGTAGTCAGTGGGGATGGATTCCCCTCAATCCTGTAACCTGAGAAACTATGTAAGTATAATGCTATTAAGCAGCTCTTTTGCTCCAGAATGTACCCTGTTTTCACTAAGAAGTATAACTACCTTCATCTCCAATTTTAGTTCTATAATATTTACCCAACACGTGTATTAGAAGGTAGCATATTAATAGGTCCATTCATTGTAACATGCTGGACAATGGAGTAGCTCAGAGGCTCTCTCATTTTTCAACTGCCCCCTGGGCCAATGTCTTACATCTGCCCACTCTAGAGTCTCCCCCGTTTCTATCTCCCACCCTGGTGGATGAAGGAGGGTGTTTCAGTTGGATTTGGGGCTGCCAGTGTACCAAAGGCCACAGCAGAGCTGTCCAAGCCCCAGGGGTCCATCCGGCCAGTGAAAGACAATTTTAAGAACAGCAAATGATTCTTCTTCTCCCTCATATCCACTTTCTCCTCCTTCTCAGGAACCTGATTAGTTCATGGAATGAACCCTGCTTTCTGCCTTCCCTCCAGGAAGCAGACAAGACCCACACCCAAGCTCTGCCTCTGGCCTGTGTCACCTCCCACACCCTCCTCTACAAAAGGCAGGCACTTCATGTCTACACTATACAATTTAGTTCTTGATTCCACGCTGTCAAGTGTCTTGACAATTATATTCCAGGTATTAGTCTTGCCTTGGCCAAGAGAAGCTCTTGGAGAGGTACTGCTCCTTGGTAATAGCGCCTGGCACTGTGCTTTGCTGATAGCAGGCACTCAATAGATAAACATTTGCCTTTATATTAAGTCTTTCCCTGGGATAGTGGTGAGCCTACTCAGGCAACTAACCCACTGCAGGCCAGGCTCTGAGTGAAGGGTGGCCTCTGGCTTCCCCTGAAGCATCCTACAAGGCAGTGATGTCAACAATGCATTCCAGGGACATGCCCAAGCTCTGGAAGGCCCCTTTGGCTTCTCCCTAGGCCTTGTAAATTCAGTTTCTTTGGCATTCCCTTCTTCCCCAATCCCTCCACGCTATCCCTTCTTGAATTTAATTTGAGGCATTTGTGAAAGAGATATTTCCTTCTCTCCATCCCTGCTACAGAGCACAGTATCTGGCATTTAAAATCATAAAGTCTTCTGGGCTCTGCTTGGGAGGGCAGACTGGGCAGGAGATGCCGTGGACCCCGCCCCTGGGGAGAGACTCCTTAGCTAAAGTTTGGAACAGACTCATTGCCAGCAAAGTGGGCTCAATGGCTGAGGTGAGGTACCCTTCTCAGGGGGCCTCATAACCCAATTCATACTACTCTCCCCCATCCTCTTAAAAAAAATAAAAATCATAAAGACTCATTGGATGAATGAATGGATTGCTGGACTAACAGAAGGGCGAGTGGGTGAGTGGGGGGAATGAAGGAATAAACAGCAGCCAGGAGCCCCCTGGAGTGGTGCCTTCCAGAGGACGGAGATTCCAGTTTAAGACCCATGTGGGATTTCATTTGACTCCACAGGGTGAAATTTTCTCAAAATCATTTTAAAAATTCGTAACTTAGAAACTAGAATATTTCTAAATCAAATCATGGCAAGACACTAGTAATTGTAACTACAATATGGTACACACAAACATACTTCTTTATATTTAGTTCCTAGGTAATAAATTTTTAAGATGTTCGTTTTTTATTCACCACCTGTATTAGAGGGCCATTACTTCCCTCAATTGAAAGCAAACTGTGTCTGCCATCACCATCAATATTCTTTAACCTTGAACTTGTAGCTTTTAAAGAAAAAAGACTGGGAGAGCTTTAAGATCCCATGCAGAGTTTCTCAACCTTAGCTGCAGGTTTGAATTACCTTGGGAGACTTTGAAAAGTCTTGATGCCCAGGCATTAGAAACTCTGGAGAGGGACCCAAGCATCAGTAATCGTTCTTCCTTTCTTTCTTTCTTTCTTTTTTTTTTTCTAATACTTTTCCCCTTTGGTTTGGCATCCATAGTTTTGAAGCTCCCCCAAGGGATTCCTATCTGCAGCGAAGGCTGAGAACCACTGCTTTAATCCACATGTAGCTGAGACCACTGAAAGATTCACTGCCCAAACCTAAGGGTTTTATGTTCCTTGCAAGAGTCAGCTCTGAAACCTGCCAGTGTCTCGTTCTGATCCCTCCCAACAGATCCTTTTTCCTTGACACTTATTTCTGTCTTGGCTCACAGGCACATCCACGAGGATCCACACTCAGGTGAAATAGGTTAGCATTTTGTGATACGCTAGTACATTGTGAAAGCTGTACTTTCTCCCTCATGAACTTTGAACTGAAACTCTGTGCTACAAGAAGTTTCAGGACCTGAGATGAGAGCAGATCGTTGAAATCAATCACAAGGAGGTTGCAAACCAGCTTGCCCCAGAGCTGGCCATTTCCCGGAATCATAGGCATGTTGAGAAACGAAAAGCTGTGTGTGGACCCTAAATCCCTGAACATGCTTCCCCCCAGTCCTGGGCTTTCGCACTCCGATCTGTGCCCATTTCCCGGCCGGAGCTCGGCTCTCCAGTGCTCCCCACTGCGGTAGCTTTGCAAAGTGCTTGCTTCACCCTAACTAGTCTCCAGTCTGCTCTACCAGTTTGGTGTCTGAGCTAGACCATCTCACTGGATCGTTTGGAAAAACAGCGTCTGGTGATGGCCACCCAGGGAGCATCTTTCCCTGGGAGCTGGTGGGCGCTGGTACGGGAGGACCCAGAGGCGGGCAGACCGCCCCGCGCCTCCTGTCCCCGCCGTGCGGGTTCCAGCGATGCCCACTAGCCGCGCGGTGCTCCAGCGGCCGGATGAACCCAAAGACTGAGACACAGCCACCGTGGGTTGCGGTTATGTATTCAGTTTCCTAGGGACTTGAGTACCACGGGCCGTGGGAAGGGGGAGAGAAACACTGGAAGAGCTGCCTGGCTGGAGTACGGATTTCCACTAAGTCATGGGCTCCTACGGTTTACAAAATCATCTTTCTACAGGAAAATCGGCTCCCGCAGGGATAGCATGGGCTGCAAGGGTCACAGGGGTTGCAGGGGTTACAGGGGCTGCAGGGGCTACAAGGACTGCAGGGGTTGCAGGGGTTGCAGGGAGACGTGCAGGGGTAGCATGGAGACTCAATCTTGACGCAACTCCCCAGCCCATAGGAGTAAGTCACGTCTTTCTCGTCCACGCACGGCGGCAGGCTGAACTCTTTGCAGATGTTCATGTAGCTGTACTTTTTCGACCCGAGGCAGTCGTACCTGTTCTCCCGCTCGGCCGACACGCACACCTTGCCGTCCTTCACCCGGACTTTGACTTGATCAGGCTCAAAGCCGCACACGTTTACTGATCCTAAAATGTTACTGCTACAGCAAGAGGAGGCCAGAATTCTATTTGTTGTTCTTCTCAGTCTGGAGTGGAGAGAAAAGAAAGGGTGGGAGGAAGAAGCTCAGATCTCAGACACAGCTCGAGAAGCAGTATTTTGATCTCTATTGTTTATTACCATTATTTTTGAAGTAAAGGCTGGGCCCAACTTGGGGCTTGAACTCAGACCCCAGATCAAGAGTCACATGCTCTACCGACTGAGGCAGCCAGGTGCCAGATCTCTATTTTTTCTTTTTAAAAATTTTTAAAAATATTTTATTTATTTATTCATGAAAGAGGCAGAGACACAGGCAGAGCGGGAAGCGGGCTCCATGCAGGGAGCCCGACGTGGGACTCGATCCCGGGGTCTCCAGGATCACACCCTGGGCTGCAGGCGGCGCTAAACCACTGAGCCCTCCGCGCTGCCCTATTTTTTCTTTTTTTTAGATAGTCATTCTGAAAAGTCAAACTTTACAGAAGTGTATAAAGTAAAAAATGAGAGTTCTCCCATGTAAATCGCACTCTCCCACACGTAAACCTCTGTTTACAATAGACGGCTGCTTGGCTTTCCAGATCTTTCTCTTGCATTTGAGTCCCAGGTCCTCCTCTTATTGTGAAAACTTGCCTCAGTTTCCTTATCTGCAAAATGGAAATAGTAACAGTACCTACATCATAGGGATTTGGAAGAATAGATGAGATTATGAGTTTTGCTTAATGCCACCTTTGACACATAAATCTTGCTTAATTATTATTGTGATCATTATTATCACTACTATTAAATGTAGACCGTTAGGACGTTTTAAAAGGGGATTCCCAACCAGTATAGCATTTTTTTAATTTTTTATTTTTCCCAGTATAGCATTTTAAATCTGCATTTTAAGGATGTCCATCAGCCTCAGAACCAAGCTCTGCTATCCACCAGATTGGTGTCACCAATGGGCCATCACACAGCCCCAGCCAGCTCCATCAACAAATGACAAGGCCTGCTTCTTTCTGCTGCTGAGAGGCTGCTCCAGACTCCAGATGTCTGGTACCAGCAAGGACAGTCAGCTTGGAAGGGTTGTGAGGTAGATCCCTGTCCTACGAGACAGGGACAGTTGTGCAAGGGCTGATTTGCTCATCACTAACCACCTCCCATCCACTAACTTCTTTATAGTTTGCAATCAATCATGGTGGGATATTTACACTACAGAAATTGGAAAACACTACAAATCAGGGTTTTTTTCCTCCTCCTATCTCACCACCCCCACATTGCTAGTTGCTAAATACCTCTGTCTGCAGCCCCTGGAGCAGCAAACACAGGTCCCCATGATTCTACAGAGCTGCCTTGCAGTCCTGTGTGAATCCTTCATAGTAAAAGAATAACAGTTGCAGCTTCCACTGATTGAACACTTGTGGTGTATCAAGAAGTAGTAAACCCAAGTGCCTAAGAGCATAGATTCCAAAACCAGAGTATTTGGGTTCAAATGTTGGCTCTGCCATGTGGATAAATTACTTAGCTTCTCTGTGCCTCAGTTTCCTTATCTGCAAAATGGGAACAATAATACTAGCTTACTTGTATCTAGGGCTGTTGTGAAGTTTAAATTAATGACTGAAAAGTATTTATAGTAGTGCTTGGCACACAGATTGGGCATCCTGGCATTAGCCCTGCATGCTTTGGCCTTCTTTAGGGTCCATATTTTTTCTATTTGCTGATCCATCCAAAGACAACCTTTATCCCTTAACAGGAAAAAAAAATCTGTGTTCTAAGAGACACTCTTGGCAAATCTTCTTGCATCTGTTGGCCTCCAAAGGAAGGTTGTAGAGTGTGTGATTTCTAGAACCTCTTCGAGTTTGACAAATCTAAACTTTGCAATTGGATGATTGGTTTAAGATACCTCTTTAATTCTCTCTTTTTATGCTGAATTTTGTTTATACTCTTACTTCGTTATATAAGTTACACAGGGGATCCCTGGGTGGCTCAGCAGTTTAGCGCCTGCCTTTGGCCCAGGGCGCTATCCTGGAGTCCCAGGATCGAGTCCCATGTCGGCTCCCGGCATGGAGCCTGCTTCTCCCTCCTCTTGTGTCTCTGCCTCTCTCTCTCTCTCTCTCTCTCTCTCTCTCTCTGTCTATCATAAATAAATAAATAAATAAATAAATAAATAAATAAATAAATCTTTAAAAAAAGTTATACAAGTTCATTGTAGAAAAACTTAGAAAACCTTAGAAAGTATACAGATAAGGAAAAAGACGGACTATTTTGTAAAATACCTATAATCCTATGTAGCACTTAACATTTTGGTGTTAGATTTTCTTTTGTGTGTATGTGTATTTCCACATACCTATTTAGATTCTTTTGTGTGTTCTTATGAAATCATGCTCATGCTATACATACTGCTTTGTATCTGTATTTTTCACTTGATAGTGCCTAACATGATTGGTTTAACAAGTGTGAGCCCTTATACTGAATGTTACAAAGCAAGGCCCTTAGAGGCTAATTACAAATGATTAAATGGAATCATCTCCTAGAAGACACCAAGGCCAACAGAAACAACTTGTGCAAGGCACCCAGAGGACTGTGACAGTCATTCAGCTTCATTTTCACCTCCAGCACCAAGGAACGTGGGGTACATGGGCACAGTAGTCTCTCACACCCAGGGTGTGCCAGGATACCCACAGGCCATACTAAGGAGAAAGGAAGAGAACTGGACTCAAAAAAAAATCTTTATCTCTGTAGAACAGAACAAAACAAATCAAACAGGAGAAAACTCTGTCCTCCTGGATGGACAGAGAATAGCTCACAAAGATGCCCCGTGCCCTCTCTGAATGCACCAGGGCTGGGAAGCCCGAATAGCTGAGAGCAGAACAGAGAGCAGAATGGGTGCGCATGGATCTCTCAAGAACCACCCACGGTGTGGACATGGGCTGAGAATGAAAGTTCTTCTGTTCAGCTCAGACCTTCCCAGTGGAGATGAAAACATCAAACCCTGCCATAGAGGGGGCTGGGCCTCACAAAACAGGGCCGGAGGGCCCCCAGGGGGACAGCTAGGATCCCTTACTACTGCCATACTCATTCTGCCAGAGGCCTCCTGCCCTTCACAGGAAATGAATCTGGGAGCCAGTTCTACAAGCCAAAGCTGGCTTCCAGATCCTTCTCCTCCTGTTAGCAATCTAAGTCTCAGAGTGCAATTGCATGTGTTGCTGTTGTTGTTTTTGCTTAGGTGCCCCCTCTTCCTCTGGCTCTGTCACTCTGGCCCCTTTGCCCCCAGAACAGCTCCACAGAGGTCTCCCAAATTCGAGTCTTCAGGAAATCGCCTAAAAAATCTTGGCCGGGTTAGGTGTCTTCTTCCTTTTGTTTCCTGGTCAGGGGTTATCAGTGGGGATGTGTGGGTGTAGAAGAAATTGCAGCAGCCACATTCCACTCCTCAGATATAACTCTGAACTTGCAACTTGACTCCTGTGTGGCGATGTACCTCTCACCCCACAAAGGAACTTCCATGGCTCTGTGACATTCTGGGCAAAGGGAGAGTAGAGTGCCTCCTCTAATTGTTATCGTGAAGGTGGAGCTTGGTTCATTGCAGAAGCCTCCCAGAGAAGATGAGGGAAAGCGAGTGGACCAACGGTATGTCTGCAGCTCTGGGATGCCACCTCTTCTCCCTGCTGAAGCTGAAGTCCATCTGAATGTATGACCAAGCTCCTGAACGTGAAACAAAAATTCATATCTTTGTGCCGTTTTCACAAAGATGTGAATGAGGTTCAACCGGTGCTAAATAAAATAATGAAGATGTCAAAAAAGGCCTCTCTCTACCCAGGAGCAAAGGGAGGTAGATCCTCCAGTAGCCATCCCTGAGTACTTTGCTTTTTCTCCTAATTGTAGACCCTTTCCAAAAACCTACTAAACTCCATTCCTCCTTTCCAAGTCATCTTTCACTTCTTTTTTCTCCCTCTTCCCTTTCCTGCCTTGTCTCTTTTCTGACTTTTGATACCGAAGAACACCACCTCGCAGGAGCAGAGGAGCAAATGCAGGTGAATCAGAGGCCCCAGCAGTGCTTGTTAGAACACAGGTGGCTGGGCCCCACCCCCAGAGTTTGCAATTCAGTGGGTCAAGGAAGGAGCCAAAAATATGCATTTCTAACAAGTTCCAGGTGATGCTGGTCCAGAGCCCACTCTTTGAGAATCACTGACCAGGTGGTTAAGCACATGGATTCCAGACTCAGGCAAATGTGGCTTCAAGTCCTGGCTCACCCAACTCCTAGTGGTCAAAAACATTGCTCCCGAATCTGTTTCGTCATCTATAAAACAAGCCAAGATGTTACAAGGATCAAATGAAGATGGAATGTGGCACCTAATTTTCACTCAATAAAGGGTAAGTCTCTTTATTAAGCTATTCCAGGCTCCACCTTACTCAGACTTCCCTGGAGCCCAAGCTCCAAGTCCTGTATCTTAAACAATAAGGTCAAACCAAATAATATACATGCTTTTGGCCTAGACGGGAAGCTATTCCTACCCCAGCCCCCACTGAGGTGACTAGGCTTTGAGACCTGTGGGCAGAAAGGATCACGAGGAGAAAGGAACAAGGGGCCACACCCACTTCCCAGGCTTACAGGGATGCTGAGGAAGAGGGTGCTATGCCCCGTGCTGTGGGTCAGAGCTTGAATGGGTGGAGAGATTTTCACGAGGGCTGAGACCTGGGAGGTACTGCTAGACCCCCATGAGGCTGACAGTCATCGACCACACCAAGTAAGAGGGATTCAGTGAAAACCTTAATCACTGAGCGTGAAGGGATAAACAAGGAAAGAAGGGAGGAGGTTTGGGGTTTTTTGTATTTTGTTTTTGTTTTTGAAGTTTGCAGAAGATGGTGCCCCTCATGTGGAGATTTTCAGGGGGATTTCTCACTGAGATTCAGATCAACCATAGATAGTTGGGTGAATGAATGGAAGCACAGTCTCAGTCTGAGTTTCTAGGTGTTAATTAGTAAAGGGTGTGAACCTGAGCCCAAAGCACCTCTACAACACAGCTGCAAACCAAGCTTTTGTCTACAAGGACTAGCGCCACCATTGGCAGGGGTCAGAGCCAAAAAGGTGCTTGCATTCATTAGATAATCAACTCCTAAGTGCAGGGCAGAGGAGGGGATGGTTTTTGTTTGTGCCCCTTCGGTCCAGAGGATGGGGAATCCCACAATGCTGATAGTGAATCCAGTGCAAACTTATGGCAGGCTAGTGGCATGGCTTCTTACAAAAGAAGCCAGATTCAGGTACTGCAGTCCCTCTAAATCCAGAAGAGGAAGAAGTCAAGGGAACCACTAGTGCTTGTGGTGCAAAGGGGAGTTTGAGGAGGAAAAGAGAATCTCAAAGAAGCTAAAAAAATAGAAGTATTTACTTGAGTCTCTATTAAGGAAGGTACTGCCAAAGTGTCTTTGGAAGCAGCTGCTAGGTAAAAGATGGAAATGGACTGGACCTATACCTAGTCTAAAAACACATTTACAAACAAACCAACCAACAAACAAAAAAACCCACATTTACAGCAGTCAAAAAACATACACTCAGAAATGCTCAAGAAACGTAGGGGAGAAATGTCATCCAAGGATTCTTACCAGTGATTAAAAGCAGATTGACTCTCACACAGAAAAACAATTCCAGTGGGGCTGTGGCAACTACAGACCAGGGACAAAGAACCTCAGGACAACACAGCCTGGCATCTGAAAGAACATGTCATACCTAACCAAACTGTTAGCATTATTTAAAGGGGTAGAAGGTCATGTGAATATGATTTCTAAACTCACAAAGCCTTGAGCAAGTTTTCACACCAAAGATTGTCTTAAAAAAATGAATCAACATGATATTTCTGGATCTATTTAGTCAGGGCTTGGGAGCTAGGTGAGAGATAAGGAAGAAGCAGCATTTCATTGGAAGAAAAAATATTAACAGTAGGAGTCCTCTGGGACTGGGGCTAGATCAGGATTTAATGTTTTCATCCATGGTCAGGAAAACTGAATATTTAGGTTTGCAGGTGACCCTAAGCCCTCCTGGATAGTCAAACGTCAGACTGTCAGAAATAGAGCAGAGGAGTGTTTCACAAGGTAGTATGAATGGGAAGAAAGTGGCTGGAAGGAGACACAGGACGGTAAGCCTGAAGTCATATCTAGAATGGACTCAGTTGTCAGTTCGGAGACTGGAGAATTCATGTAAAGACATCACCAACTTTATATACTGCCTCAGGCACAGAAAAAAAATCAGCAAAAATCCAGGCATTGTTGGGAAAAATATCACAACCCATAGAAAGCATTCTGTCTTATATAAACCACACTGCTGAGAATTAAGCTTGAGGTTGTGTCTACTCTTAGAGCTGGTGGAGGGTGCCCACAGGGTGAGAAACAGGCACTCTTTCTGGAGAGTCTGGAGTGAAGGGACAGGCAGGAGACAAAGGCTGGAAGGGATTGGATCAAGCGTTTTCAAGGATTCAGAGGCACAGGGACGGTGGAGACAGGCCTGCTCACAAGTAACCTTTCCTGTAGACCAATTTAAAAATCCCTGACTCACAGTGTGCAAAACTTATGTAACTTGATCCTCTAAGGAGTAAAAATAAAAACTTTAAAATTGAGTGTAGATGAGTTTATAGGCTATAGCCCCATTCCAAACTATTGAGAGGGGTTTGTTCCTAACCTTTGGTGACTGATGACTTGGACAACAGTTGCTCTATTGCCCTTTCTGGTGGAATATCCCAGTCACTGTTATCAAGTATCTGTATCTCCCATCCACCCACCCACCCATCCATCCATCCACCCATTCACCTACCTCCACATCTACCCACCCACCCACCCACCTACCCATCCACCCATCCTCTCACCCATCCATCCACTTACCTACTTACCTACCTCTCTAATCTATTAATCTACCATGAGAATAGGAAGGAAGGATGTTAAGGATAGAGACTTGCAATGAGTAGTAAATAAGTCCCAGAGATCTAATGCACAGTATAGTGAATATAGACAACAATATTATATTAGGATCATCAGACTTGGTAAGGGATGATAATTATGGAACATGATAGAGGTGCTAATTATCGCTTCAATGGCATCATCATAATAGATAGATGTATCAAACATACTATACACCTTAAATTACAGTGTTATATGTCAAGTATATTTGGATCAAAAGATCTATCATCCATTTGTGCCCCCATCTTTTAAAAAGTAGTAGCATATTAAGTAGGTTTTCTTGCCTCTTTCATTCAATACAGCAACACATAAAATGCTTCATCGTTCTGTGTTACATCTACCTAGTATCCCGGTGTAGTTTATTTATTTATTATAATAAATAAATTTGTTTAACTAGAGTACAGTGCTTTCAGCAATTGTTTTTATCAATTATGCCAGACTAGATGGCATACAGTGGAAAGTTAGAAATAGAAAGCTTTCTCCAGGCCATAAAAGGAAATGTAACCAAACAAAATAGTAAAAAGTAGCTTTGAAAATTACCCAATTCAGTTAAAACCCTCTCAACTCTGTTCTGAAAGTCCTCAGTTCTATAGTTCATACGTACAACCTTTGCCACTGCTGGAGGAGGCAGTCAACAGGACCGGCCCTACTCCAGATGGATTTTAAGGCTGCCTGGAGTTGGGGAATGGGAGAAGGGTTTTCCTACAAAACCAAGGGAATGCCTCTGTTGTTCAATTTGCTCCCCTGCTCTTAAAGCCTCTGGCGAACATTAAGGATTTGATCAATTGTTATTGCTTCTCCTGTAGTCGTTTCTGTAAGCCCAAATATCCTCAAATCACTTTACTCATAACCAGAAAAAATGTTTAGTTTGCTTCTTTCAATAGCTTTTTAATGACACCTCCTATTTCTTTCCCTCATTAAAGCCACATTATCTATCATGTTGGCACTCCTGCTATAAACCCACAACAACCTTGCCAATCGACATCATTACATTGTCTTTTGAGAATCTCACAATTCCCATCACGGACCCGTCTACTCTTCTTTTCTTACATCTTTGCTAAGTCACCAGAGTCATTCTTTTGAACCCTTGTCATCATCATTGTTCAAGTATCAGCTGTTACCTCCCCTCCCCCGCCTTCAACTCCCAAGGTTTAATACACCGACTTATAAAAATCTTAAAAAGTCCTTTTACTTGGCAAGCTCTCTCTTTTCATCTTCTATGGCTCTAATGGCTTTCCTCTCCAAACTTCTGAGAGATGGTCGCAGACAGTAGAGCTTGACGTCGCACAGGCAGCACGGGTAGAGATCACACAGGCCGCAGGAGCGCGCTCGCTTCGAGTAGCACAGGCAGTAGGGGTAGGGGTGCAGGTCGCAGCAGCAGTATGGGTGCATGTACAGGTCGCACAGACACCGTGTGCATTCGTCAATGCATCTCAACTGCCTCAGTTCTCGGTCCACCTTCTTTATGTCCCTTCTAACACTGTCCAGAAGACAACTCAGTGCAGCCATTACAGTCACACCTTATTGTTTTGTGAGTACCTTTGGGAAATGGCACTCGGGGGGAAAAAATTGTTCTAAGCTCTTCTCAGAAGTTTCTTTTAAAAATAAATGAGGCACGCATGATTCAGTTACTTTAAAGCTTGAGTTCTGTGACCTCACCACCCTCTAAGTATGTCATAGTCTTCTGGTTACCATGTGAACTATGCACAGCCGTGCTCTCCAGAGACCCTCCCTAGAGTTACAGAGCTACTCCCAGAACCATACTAATGTTGAGATTTCATTCTCCTTGACATGGGGTGGGGCCCTCGAGCAATCCCAGCTCTCTGGGGCTCATGACTATCACTGTCCATGTCCTTGGCTTGAGTGTGTGTGTGTGTGTGTGTGTGTGCACGCGCGTGCATGCTTGCACCTGGTTACAGCCACTAAGATCTCAGTGTAGGGGATGGTAGAGGCCCTGGCTCCTTTCTCTGTGCCCTTGCACCTCCAGCCTTCACTTGACACTTAGCTTCACCCCCTCATACTCTAGGAGTCATATGCTGGCACCTCGTCTGTATATGGAAAGCTTGCTTGCTTTACAGAGTTTTCCTGTGGTTCTTCTGACCACATCATTCTCAAGGCAGCCTTGGTCCTTGGCCTTGTGGCCCTGAATCTCTGAGTCCTGCCCATTCTCTGCTATCTGGCACCCTGCTATCCTGAAGCTCCAGTCCTTGGAGTCCTGCTCCCCAGGACTCAGGCTCCTGTTGGTCACCACCTCCCAGTGATTTCTCCTCCAGTCTTTCATCCAAGCCTCTAGATGCCCTGTCCCCAAGTGCTTCTCAGGTGTTACCCCTTAGTACTGGGACAGCCAACTGTCTGAAGTGGCTTAAAGCCAACTACCCAAAAACCTCACTTGGGCCAGTTTCCTGTGCTCCCAGCTGGATCAGTCAGTATGCTGGGCCATGGGCTCAACCTCAGCCTTGGTTTGGGTACTTCTATTCCTTGGGCCAGTCCCTTCAACCTGCTACCCAGCTCTCAAGTCCCCTTTTTATGGAGGACAGCATAGGGTACTTGAGGGCAAGCAGTAGGATGTAGCACTGGAGAAGGAGACAGGACTAGTTTTGAAGGGACTTGTGGGTCATCTAAGCAGGCTGACCTTTATTTTTAGCATAATGAAGAATGACTAATTTTCTTTTCTGCTGAGAGAAGTTGAAAGGTAAGTCTGATAGCTGTATACATCCCCCAGCATGGTAAAGGGGACAAGAGAGGTGCCTTTTGAAAAGCAGGGGCAGCCAAGTCTAGATTAGATGACTGTAGGGATGGCGAGAAGAAACCCAGTGGTGTCCCCTTCCTCTCACATCCACTCAGACCCATCCTATCTATTCTCCACCTCTCAGCCAGAGTGGTTTTCATATATAAATCTGTTATCCCCCACCTAATACCACCCACCCTTCTCTGTCCTCTTAGAAAAAGGGCCCAAATCCTTATAAGGTGCTGAACAATAGGGCCTCTGTCTCCCTCTCTCTCTCTCCTCCCCCATCATTATTCCTGTAGTCCATTATTTTTTAGCCACAATGGCCTTTCTCAAAGTCTTACTCATTTCACCTCATTCAAGACTTGTCTGCACACCGTTCTCTCTGCTTAGAAATTGAGCACCCACCCCAATCCCTTGATCTAGTAGACAACTCCTGAGACATTCTTTAGATCTCCTCTTAAATATCCCTTCCTCAGAGAAGCCTTCCTGGTCCCTAGGCCAAGTATAACTCTGCATATTCCTTTTATCACATCATTTGTCTGTTTCCCCAATTAGACTATAAGCTCTATGCAGGCAGGCACCTTGTTTATTTTTGTTCACCATCGATACCTAATGCAATGCCTAGAGTGTAATAGGGGCTTATGAGTGAATTCAACAGAACTTGTGAACAGAATGATGGTGAAGTGTGGGAAGAATCAGTAATGACCCCCTTGGTTTCCGGCTTGGCAGAATGGCTGCCATTGACTGAGGATCCCTGGAGTAGGTTCAGGGTTCTTCTCATTCAGGAAAAGAAATATACTGAGAAAAGAAGAGGACTTGGGTAGAACCCAGGGAACAACAAGATATGGAGGAAGTGAAGGGGCTCATGATCACTCATAGAAGGAGTAATCAGAGGTGAGCGCCTCCTACACTGAATTCTCTTGTGTATGACTAGACCACGCCTAGTATTCCCCAGTACTCCCCAGCCGTGACCCAGGAGGGCCTCTTTCTGGGCAGATGAGGTGCCTTAGTAAAGAAAATAAGTTTCTCAGGAGGTATTAGAATGGAAGGCTGGCCACTGACTCACATGGGATATGTTAAAGCAGAAATGAATCATTCTCCTTTATAGACAAACGCTTATGCCTTTTAAGAGTGATCTGCCCAATTCTGAAGCGTGAGCTCTGTTAATAGGAATATGGCCCACTCTTCCTGAGAGTTCACTGCAGGAATTATACAGGTCTCTTTAGCTCCAAAGTGATAGACTTCTGAACTCTTATATCACGATGAATTCTAACCCTTTAGCAAATGTCAGCAAAGGTTAAAACAAGCAAGCTTTTGGTTTTAGATTCTTAAATACACAGGTTCAGGAATGTAAGTACACACTTCTGTATATCCATGGCACATTGCAAAGATGGTTACAGCTTTATTTTAGCTAGGTTCTTCCATGATCCTATCCTCACAGTGATTTTACTCTTCACCATAAAGCATATCCTTGACATCATTTCAAGTGACTTAACAAAGGTGGTATTTCCTTTAAAGATCAGATGGAAATGTGATCTATCCATGTCAGAAGGAGAGGTAGAAATTCACCAGATTCTACAGAAACCCACAGGAATGATCTGCAGTCCCAGTCCCCTAAAGCATAAACACAAGGAGCTTCCATGGGCTCTAACACAGAAGTAGGGACCCTTTCTTACATAGGACTATGTCTGTGGAGGCTCCCATCCATCCCCTCTGGCTCGTTCAGATAGAACCCCCTCTAGGATGGAAGGCAGGCCTTGACAATTTCCCTCTGGGCAAAGAGTAGGTGCTTGCTCCTTAATGTTGGTGGAACTATAAGCCAAAGAATGTCCTTCTACCTGTTCTACTAGGTGTACAGCTATGGGTCAAGTCCATTTAATGGGCCTAAGCTACAAAGATACTCCTCTACCAAGCACTAGATCCATATGTGATACTTACACATTGAAAGCAAAATCCTATACATAATGTATTCTTGACTATGTTAACAAGAATCCATAGAAGGGGAGAAACCCCCTCAGAAATGAACTGTGGTTATCTCTGGGTAGTGGAATTATAGATGAGTTTTTAAATTCTCTTTTCTATGGGCACCTGAGTGGCTCAGTCGGTTAAGCATCTATCTTTGCCTCAGGTCATGATCCCAGGGTCCTGGGATTGAGTCCCTCATCAGGCTCTCTGCTCAATAAGGAGTCTGCTCCTCCCTCTCCCTCTACTCCTCCCCCTGCTCATACTCTCTCTCAAATAAGTACATAAAATCTTTAAAAAAATAAATTCTCTTTTCTAGACTTTTTGTGATTTTTTAAGTGTCTTCAATGAGGTTATTGCCAATTTTATGATGAAACTTTTTGAGAGTGTACTGTCTGTCACATGATCAGCTTTGCACTGAATAGCTAAGCCCATTTCTAGCCTCTGCCTCTAACATCCAAGTGGGTTTCAGGACCACCCTCTGTGGTTTGCTATCCAGGAAGTCTTCCTATAATGGATATCCAATGTTTGGCCTGCACATCATCCAGGGTACCTTCTTTTGGTAAAATAACTATCTTCCCTCCTACCCTGCCCTCTGCCATTAGGTACTACCAGTAAAGTTGCCCAGTCAAGGGGCAGGTATGTAACCAACCATCCAACTCATCCCATCTCTTCTGGGAATTTGATCTTTCACAGGGAGACTAGTGATAGCTAGAGCTGACAATAGACTCTGAAGAAATAATACTTTAGTTAACTGCCCTATTCTGTTGTTTTCAAATTGGTTCTTTAGCTTTCCTTTGAGTCTGTGAGCTCTTCATATTCTTCCAATAAATTCCTGTTTCTCTTACATTATTCTTTCAAAAAAAATTTTTAAGTTATTCTTTTAGTGTCAGTTACTTATAACTAAAGAACACAACTGATATGACAACTTGCCCCCATGGACCCAATGGGGATCACTGCAAGCTTAACTTGTAGGTCAATTGTTGCTCCAGTGGACCTTGTCCTATGCTAGCCAGGCCCCTTCCTCTTAACCCAGAACTAGCTGTATCAAGGTAGCCACCATTATTAAAGACCATCAGTAAGTGCACATAGCATTTTAGACCACTGACAAATCAAAACCTGATACTGCTAAGAAATGTTGACTCATAAAAACCAATTCTCTCTCTCTCTCTCTCTCTCTCTCACCTGGGAGGGAAGAAGCTAAGGAGCAGAGTGAGCATGGAAGGCTCCCAGAATCTGCTGTTTGCAAGACCCACAGTTGGAATTTAGGGAAGAGATGAGCAAATGTACCAGTAGTGGTGATTCACACTAGGGAAATGTCTAGAAACACCCAGGAAGTCCCATCCATTGACACTGTCCCTGGGGCATGAGAGACATCACTGACATCAGAACCTCAGAACTTCAGCTTTGGGAAACTGGAGTCATCCAGACCTGTTTTCTCCTCAGGCAGGAATCTCTGCTTGAGCACCTTAGGCAGATAAGCGTGGAAGAACTGGGGGTTCTTTATGGAATGAGGTGTTCCCTTATGGTTTAAGATGACCAGGACTCCTATGACCAACCATATTAGCTCATATAATTTTATCCCTCTTCCTCATCCTCATCCCCCCAACCTCCCCACACCAGTCCTACGGGGTCTTTAACAAATATCTTCCTGCTAAATAAGCTGAGGAGGGATGAAGAAGAGGAGGATGTTGGTCGATGACTTCCTTTTTTTTTTTTTTTTTTAAAAAAAGTGGTTTTATTTATTTATTCATGAGAGGCACAGACAGGGGCAGAGACATAGACAGAGGGAGAAGCAGGGTCCCTGCAAGGAGCC